GTCCATGTGGGCAGACGAGGCTCGGGGAACCTCAGTCTTTGTGGATGCTCTTCACCAACGGAACGATGCTCTGCAGCTTCCCAGCTGGCGAGATAGCTCCTCCAAATGTAAGTTCTTCCCATTTCAGCGCTGAGGGTCAATTAAAACCCAGCTCCCTATAGGGGATCTCGATGTTGAACGTGTACCAGAAGACCCAGAAGAGAAGACTGAAGGCAAGCAGCAGCGCTCCCGAGTAAATAAAGAAGTCCCAGTAGCTGAGAGAAGCGATCAGCCCCACGAGGAGCAGGACCAGCCCCAGCACGTCGCACAGCAGGGCCAGCAGCAGCACCCCACCACAGCGCCCAGCCAATGCACGCAGGGCCATGCTGCAGCCCCAGCGGCAGCATCCCTCCCCGCCTGTGGCAGGAGGAAGTACAAATGTCACAACACACCTTGCAGAACAATCGGGAGGCAGCACGACACCGCTTTAACCATTTCATGGCCCCGCCGTCGCTGCCTCTGCTTCTTCCACAGCAGGGCACGGGGCTTCCCTTTCTTTATTAGGAAACTGAGACACAGGATTTTTTCTGGAGTGTCAAAATGCACCTCCCTTGCAACCCCTCCCAAAAGCAGGTCTTGCTGGAAAGCCAGAAATCACACAGCCCGTGCCATCGCCCATCCCTAGAATGGGAACTGTCAGGTCAGTGGTGAATCACTACAGAAGGTGGGACTTCCCAGAGCTTGTCCATGAGCAGTTGGTGGGATGCCGGGCTGATGCTCTCTGCTCCCCAGTTGCCGTGTGATGCTGGGGACATCCTTCCTCACCAATCAGCACATGATGGCAAAAAGAGCAATCTGGGGGTGATGGAAGCCTCTGGGAGCCTTTGGCCAGAGGTGGCCTCTGTGGGCTGACAGCCACCTGCTGTGGTATCTGCATGCTGAGCTGCACCGCCTCGGAGCAAGTGCAAGGCTGGCACTGGGGACAGAGTGATGGCTGATGGCTGGAGTTGGGCACCATGTTTGCTGCATGGGTGCTAAAAGCCACTGGGCTCCTGCCTGCCACACCTACGTGCATCACAGAGCACGTCCCCATCAGCCTCTCCCTCCTTACCCAGGCTGCTGCATGTAGGTACTGTAGGCAGCATTGTGCTAATGGCAGTGTGAGCTGCTCCATCCCAAAGTCACAGCTCTGCAGGCAGAAAATTTTTTCCTCCCCACATCTCAGAACAATGAAGGCTTTTGAATATGCAAATGAATAACTGATCTCTTCTTTGTGCATTCTGCTCTTCCAAGGCCTTGGGGAGGAGCTGCTGTTTGTCATCCCAGGATCTGTCAGCAGTGGGCTGGAGCACAGCAGCTTGCAGGACCTGGCCACCCCCTAACAGGAATCCTTTTCTGTGGTCTTCTTTCAATGGACTACAGTGACAGTGGAGATGGATGGAGGAGGATTGTGGCTCTTAACTCCTTTGTTCCACTGCATTTGCATGAACACGCTGGAGGGCTAGTGTTGATGCTGCTGGAGATACCCTGGTCACAGTTTTACTGATGAGACTGAGCCCTGTTACTTTCTGAAGACTGGGATTTTTGCTTTGTCTTCCTTTCCCACAGAAACATCCAGCTCCCCTTTCATTTGCCTACATCTATCTATTCATTTTTCATCCAAGGTCATTTCCTTCTGTTCCCTGGATTTCAAAGAGCCCTTCCATATTCTATTAAGCAGTTTTCATCATCCCTCTTAATGCACCAAGACTTCTCTGCCCCTTCTAGCCTGACTTTCTCCAGTCTCTGATGCCCACAGACATCAGCCAGGTGGGACATCATGCATTGCATCCTCCAAAGCAAACAGCTCAGGTGGAGGTGGGACTGATGTAAGGAGTTGGAGTCAGCCCTGGCCTGCCCAGCCCAGCCCCATGCATTGAAAAGCTGTGCCACCTCGATCCCATCAGGCTGCGTTTCATGGAAGTTAGAGCAAGAAACCAAGCTGGCAATGGCAGCTCCCTGTTTTCCCCCAGGTTTGATGTTGCATGGCACTTGGTTGGATGCTTGAAGCCCATCTGGGATTTGCCCTGTGGGAAATGTTGTCATCCGGGTGCAGCTCCGTGGTGCTGAGCTCTACCAGTGCGTGAGAGCAGCGATCTGCCTGCGATAGCACTCACGGAAACGCGACACACGAAATAAAATCACTCCCCCAGGCTGGGAAGGAACCCAGAGGTTTCCAGAAGTTCATTCACCTCCAATTATCAGCTAAGAAAACTGCAGACATCTGCATTTCATTCCCCAACATACAGAAAAACAAATAAATAAAACCAAGCAGAGAGCACTGCCTACCTCTTCTGCCTTTTTCTAGCCCAGTTCTGCTGCAGTTGGAAGGATGATGTTAGCAGAGCACGCTCCCGGAGGTGGCCCTGTACAGGTTTGCAGAAGTATGCAGCAAGAGTGAACCAGTTCTCCAAAGGGAACAATGAGTGCACGTCCCTCAGTTACACATGAGCTGGGCGCAGCTGGAACGTGAGCAGATGAATGGAAGCACTCTGACAAAATCTTGGGCTAGCAGGTGTCAGTCAATATTTATTTAACTGCAAAGTCGGGAGGCAAATCCTTAAAACAGGGCACGGAGTGGCTGCTTTCCCCAGGGCAAAGCCCTGTAGTGGGTTCAGCAGGTGAGAGCTGGCTCAGACCTGAACCTGCACTGAGAGCAGCTGCAGGGACGGTTTCCAGACTCAAGTTCTCATGTCTCACCCTGCTTCCTACTTTTACAGCCTTGGGGGGCTGACCGTGGTTTTTCTGTCTGCACCCAGCAGGGACTTTCCGAGCTCTCTTCACCTCTGCAAACATTTGTCCTTCCCATACCTGTGCTCAGCTTTATAGCAAAGGAAATGAAAGCACTTTCTAATAAAATATTTCCTTGCACCCAGAAGGCAGGCACTGGCTGGGCTGCAGTCAAACCCAGGCGAAACCTCCAAGGACTTTGCCCAGCATCAGTGACACTGGCCAATTCTGCACAGGAGGTGAGAGGAGAGGAACAGAAGAGGGGAAAACCTTCTGGCACAAGCCAAGCTCTTTTCCATGGGCACGGAGAGCACAGACTGCTCCATGGACCACAAAAGCATGCACCCACAGCCCTGGCTTCTGCTGACTGAGTCTCTCCATCCCAGTTTCTTCAGGAAATAGTTTTCTATTGCCACTTCCCACCTGCTTGCAGGGCAGAGCTGCACGGTGTCCCCCACAGACCCTCGGGGCCTTCTGTGGAGCACTGTTACCTATGGGATGGGATGGGGCGAGGATGGAGGAGCTGAATTTCTCCATCAGCCTCTGCGGAGCCCTGCAGTCCAGCACAGCCACAGCACTGCCTGCCCCGGGGGAGCACGAAGCCCCGCCCATTCACACAGCAGACCACGCCCACAACCACAAGCCCCTCCCATTCCTCAGAGCCACGCCCATTCCATTGACCCCGCCCCCTTCAAAGGCCCCTCCTCTCCTGGCTCTGTGCCCCACGTGCCTGACCACAGCTCATGGTGAGCCGTGCCCACGGGGTGTTTGCTGTCGTTCAGGCTGAGTTATGGAAAATCAGATAAAAAGAGGAGAAATCCCAACTGCTGCTGCTGCTGGGGGCACACACGTGATAGGGCTGCACGGCATGGAATCCTCTGCTGCACTGAGCCAATGCCTGGACTGATGGGCTCTGCCATGTGTGGGTGAAATTTAGTTTGTGTTCACGCTGCTGAGGACTGAAATAGGAAAGATTGGGGGTTTTTATGGGGGATTTTCTGGGAGGTGACAGCTCAACCCAGTAGGATGCTGCCCTGTGGGGTGCTAAGAGGGGAGCACATTGGGGAGCGTCCCACCAGCTCCAGGCTCACAGCGCTGGGGTCACCCAGACGCACTGGGGAACATTTCCCCTCCAAACTGTTCTGCAGACGTAGTGAATTTCATGATGGGTTTCCTGTTATTTTTATAGAGCATGGAAGCAGATCACATTGGACCTAGCTTTAATGAGAGTTGGTCAGGACTGCTGTTGTTGCCTGATCCATTTCCAGATCCATTTTCTTCACAACATGTGTCTGTTCTTTATTCTGATCTGAAGCATCCCAGCGGGATTCAAACAGGCTGCACGGGGAGAAGAGATGAGCACAGAGAGCAGCAAAGCTGTGCCTTGTGCATACATGGGAACAGCCCAAAGGCACCAGAACTGTGTGTGCAAACCTAGGGTGCCTCAGCTGTGTGCTGCCCCAGCAGTGACAGGAGGAGGTGCCCTGGGGATGGCTGTCTAACACGGTGCTGGATGCCCCCTTGTTTTTATCATCCCTTTAGGGATCTGCTGTCCTAACCCTGCTTTGAACCCAGAGGCAACTCCCATCCCTGCAGCCTCCCAAGGCAGCGTGACACAGAGGTTCTCTGATCCCATAGCACAGCACAGAGACAAGATTTCTCTCCTCAGAGGCCCTGTGATGTTGGCTGGGCTGTGTCAGGGCATGCACTTGGTGTCAGCTTCCATTGAAGCCTTTGTGAACATTTCCCAGTGCTGGGACTGATTTGCACTGCACACATAAATGCAGATCCCACCCAGCCTCTGGGTATCACTCAGGCATTGATCACTCATACAGTGGAGTGTTCCCACCCTCCTGCTGGGCTTCTGTCTGCACCTTCACCTTCAGCCTGATAATCCAGCTCTGCCTTCAATTACTATTTACCTCTCTGACCCCTGCAGCTCAGACAAGCAGACCCAAGCTCTGCTGACCCCTGCCTGGGCTGTTGCCCTAATCTTCATCTGTGCAGTCTTCATCCCCTGCTGACCCCTTCTTGTGCCACCTTCGCATGCAGGGTCCTGGGTGGGTCCCTGGGCAGATCCCAGCGCAGAGCCCCAGGCCAACCCATGGCCTCAGCCCTCCTGGTCTGCCTCCTGTCACACCCCAGGGACAGCCAGCTCCCCTCCTGCAGCAGGCACGAAGCACAACAGCAGCAAGGTGAAACCCTTGAGATATTTCTGCTTTAATTAAATCAAATATTCTTGTTACAAATAACCAGCATGGAATCCTGTTACATTTCTGATCTCAGTGACTCCTTATCCCATTGATATTTCACCAGTTGTCTCCTTGGTTACAAGATGTGCAGTACAGGACCCCACTCTGTGTCCCCGTCCCTCATAATGCTCTGTGATTTCTTCCATGACAGCCCTGCTGCTCACCTGCTTTTCTGGCTGCAGTTCATCCTTGGGCAGAAGCTTGGGGTGAGCCTGTGCCCACTGCAGCTGAATCAATAGAGAACTAGCGTGGTGCCAAGCCAGCACCGAAAATAACAGCAGAGCACAGCTCAGAGGGATGAATGACTGAGGAGCAGGAGGAGGTTTGCTGGGTCTGCTGCCAGACCACGCACCTCCAACACTCCGTTCACCAACTGGCACCAGCGGGGGGCACGTGTGCACTGCATGGGAACACAACTCGGGGCAGAGCCAAGCTGGGTCAGCAGGATGTGTTCCTCGAGCACGTGCATCTCGTGCTAGCTGCAGCCCAGAAGCTGCCTCTGCTGCTCCCCATCATACAGGGGAGCCAACATACTGCCAACCTTACTCCCATCCCAGGGGGAGCATCATGAGTCTTTGAGCTGTGGGCTCTTTGGGCCATATCTGCAGACCAATCTCTGCTTTCAGTGGGTCTTCTGGTGTTATCCGGAGCTCCCAGCATGTCTGTGGTGGCAGTTCCTGAGGGATGTGGCATCCAAATCAACAGGAAGTTGTTCTGTGCTGATGTCCACTGTCCAAATGCAGAGCAGGGTGTTGCAGAGCTGCTGTACACCTTTACCAACCTGTCTTCATTCCCAGGAATGTCCCACTGCTTTAAGGGAGTGATCCATGGGAGGGGGTGGAAATGCTGCGTGGAGGTGCAGGTGGGGTCTCCTCTCCTGTGCCCCTTTTCTGCCTCTGATCAGCATCAAACCGTGTCCTGCCCAGCCCTGGAGCTGGGTTCTCACCTGCATGGGGCTCCAGGCACTCAGCCACAGCTCGCTGGGCTGAGGTCTTCCCAGGTGGGATGCTGTAGGAGGTGAGCTGGATCTGAAAAGTCAGAGTCCCACTCAGAATTAGAGGCAGAATATCATGCACCCAATTATGTTAACCCAGGTTTTGTTGTCCAGACAGAGTGGTTTTTTAGACTGGGAATTTTCATTTCAGGCGAAGCTGTGTGAGTGCTGCACCCTGAGCACAGAGTGAGCTCCGGCCCACAGCCATTCTGCTCAGCTGCCATAGCAGATCTGCGCTGAGGAATTCCCAGCCATGGGCCCCATGTCCGATCTTCCCAAGCTTTGGTGACATGTGTTGCCCATCCTGGTGGTCTCTGCTGTGAAGGGATCTGGGACCACTCTGTCCTGCTGCCCCTCTCTGTAACTCTGGAGATGCCTCCTTGGACATCCCATTTTCCAGACGTGAAGTCCAGTGCTCACAGCAGCTTTACCCACACCGTGGTAGGTTGGCTCTTCTCCACTGCTGTGCCCTACAAAAGCTGCTGACGGAGGCTGCCAGAAGCTCTGCTTTCCCCTTCATGTGTTGGTTTGGCCATTGCATGGCACATGTGGGGTTGGCCATTGCACAGCATGTGTTGGGTTGGCCATTGCATGGTGAGGTGATGCGGGGCACTGGGTTCACCATCAAGTCCTGATCTCTTTTTTTCTGAGATTCCCTGGGCAAAATATGAAGTTCACTTTCATGCTGGGGATGGTACAGCATGTTCTGTCTTATAGGGAAGGGACTGGGATGAATTCCTCTAGGAGAGTACACGAGAACGCTTCTTTTTATGGCTAACATGACGAGTGGGGTGGGGGCCTTCCTGGGAGGTGCTCAGCGGTTGAAGAAGAAGGACCTGAGGCTCTGCAGGAAGTGTGACTTCTGCCTCTGCTTCTGCTTCTTGCGGATGATGGGGATCCAGACGAGGCCACAGACAAGGAGCATCAGTCCCATGGACAGGAACGCAGGGCCGCACATTTTGTACACATTCTTGTTCTTGATTTCAAAGCACGACAAGGTGGTAATGACTGTTCCGAAGAGGAAGATGGCAGCTCCGACGGACATGACGATGATGGGCTTGTGGTAGATGTCCCACTTGCTCCTGGAGGTATTGGTCCAGACAGACTCGCTGCGGGAGCTGATGCACAGCGTGCTGGCCGTGTTGCTGGTCAGCAGCTCCTTGGACGGGGGGGACTTCAGGCTCCCATTAGGGCTCTGGGGGGGATTTTCCATGACAGCGGGATCTGAGGAGGAGACCTAGGGTGGACAGAAGAAAAAGAGCAGAGGACTGGTGCTGGAGGATGGACTGAGTGCTGTCCATCTAGTCATCAATGAGTGCATGCCCTAGGCCAAGTTAAAGATTGGAGAAAGCTTGGTGCTGTGCTGCAGGGAGAGAAGAGCACCACACCTATATGAGCAGCACATTTAAGGACAGGCGACTGGATCCTGCAGGGAGGAGGGCTGCCTGCCTGTTGTGGGACTCCCACTGCCCACCCCACCCCTAACCTTAACACCTGCCCTGGGGCAGGTCCCTTCCTTAGAGCTTCTTTACCCAGAGGTGATGAGGTCCTGGGACTGCTGCCCAGAGCTGTGGATGCCCCATCTCTGGAGGTGCCCAAGGCCATGGGTGGCCCCTGGGCAGCCTGAACTGGCTTGGGGGAAGGGGAAACAGCCCACAGCAGGGGTGGGTCTGGGAAGGCTGCAGGAGGAATCTCAGCTCATGCCAAAAGCTGTGCTGTGCTTTGCAGTGCTGGGGTCAGCCCTGTGGCTCTCTCAGGAGCCCTGCCCCTGCATTAGATTTTCACCTACTTGAGGAGGAAATGCATTTTCCCAGAAACAGCATGACTTTAGCATGGGGAAATCATTATGATAAATGGGAAATGCAGTGCATTATGTTAACCACCATTTCATCGGAGCAGGGGAAAGCAGGACGTGGAGCTGGCAGGGAGGCCCGCAGGGTCCAGCGTGCTGCAGGGCTGGGCATGCTGAGCTCAGCTCTAAGCACGGTGCAGGCTGTGAGCCCGATGCTCATCCAGGGCAGTTCATCCAAAACCCTGCCCAGGCCCTCAGGCACAGCAGTCTGTGCTCCCAGGAACACGTGCACCATGAGTGGTATTGCACTGGGTTTGCAGGTTTGCACCCTGCTTTGCTATGGTGAGGTGCAGAGGAGATGAGTCCAGAGCCTGGTGCCTCCAGCCTATTTTTTGCTGCTGCTGCTTTATGCTAAGGCTTGCACCACGTCAATGCAGGCACGAGCAGCCACAAAACTGCTCCAGAGCTGAGGTCCTAATGATCCGTACCTGGGCCATTACAGCAGGTAATCCCTAGCTGGGCTGTGCTGGGCCCTGTGCCCACCCCAGGGTGCTGACACCTCCCTCATTCCCTTCACCCATGTTCCTTTCCCAGGTTTGTGGTTTATTCTGATGTAATTTTTTTCTGTTTACTCCCACTACTGAAACACTCAAGCACTGCTGCAGAAATGCAGACCTGGTGGCACTGACATATTTTGTGCCATTTCAGATTTGCAAAAATTGGACCAACAAACAAAAAATAAAAGCAGAGCTCAGTGCTTGTATCCCTTCCATCTGCAGCTCTCCCCTACTCTGTCAAACCAGGAGAGGTGGGGCAGAGCAGGGCACTCATCCTGCCATCCTGATCTGCTATGGCCTCTGGTGACTCTCCTCTCCCAAGATTTCCTCCTTCACAGTCATGGCATTTCTTGTCTTTCTCTTATTCTAGCATCCATTGTGGAGAGTTTTTATGTTCAAGCCACTGTATGATTTTAATTCACTCAGCCCTGTTGTGCTGCCCAGGTCCTTGCCTGCAGCCCCAGCACTGTTCCCAGCTCCCAGCTCCCTACTCATCGATGCCCTGCTTACCATTGGGATACACTGAGCCCTGCAGAGCGCCTTCCTCTCCACTTTGCAGAGATATAATGGTGGGCTCCTGCAGAAACCTTGCTCTTCCCTCCAGGCTTGCATTTGCACTAGTCGGGATTTGTTTTTCCCTTTTATTTTCTGGCATAACCATTCCTCTCACCACAATTTTCAGATGCTGATCATTTTTATAACACCTTGCATGAGGTGCTGTGTAGTTCCCTTCTGTTTGCTCAAGAAAGGTTTCACTCTCTACACGTGGCCAGGAGTTTGGTTGCAAGCTCTGCATGTGTCTGCAGCTCTTGGGAGAGCTAATGTGATTTCAGCTCCTGCTCTGCCCATACTCCATCCCTAATTCATCCCAGATGTGCTCACATTGGAAGATGCGTGATGCTCGTACTGAGCAGCCCAGCAGGATAATGCTATCAGGTTTCTCCCACATTTTGAATAATTATTGTTGTAAGGAGAGCATCCGCAGATGACCATTTGCTGCCTTGCAAATGCCTCCAGAGCACATCTCAGATATCATGGCTGGCTACTGCTGCCCCAGCTCCTGCAAGCACTGCTCATACCGGGGTCTTTCTCCATCCCTGACAGAAGGAGGAGTGATGCTTTCTCCCTTTTTGCTCTCCCAGTGCTTTGCACACTGATGTTTGAGAATCCCATTTGCTGAGGACCCCAATAAATCTGGCTACAAGTGATTTAATTTTCCTGCCCATCTCTGTGTTCACACAGGGGCAGCTCTCTGCTCTGTCTGCTCTGTCTTTTGCCACAGAGGCCAAAAATCCTTGTGACACCTCTGAGTCTGAGAGCAGCAGATGAGCAGCCAGGACCTGGGGTGCCACAGCCAGCCTGCAGATATGGACTGAGCCCCTTGGAAGACCCAGGGACATGCTAAGGCTGGATCTAGTCCCACAAGTCCCCAGCCTGTCCATCTCCTTTTCCCATGGGGAAACAGCTCTGATTCTTCAGGAGCTTCTTACACATTGCTCTTATCTCAATACCTAACTGCTGCCTCTGTTCTCTCCGAGAACAGCAGAGCATCCCCAGCCCAGCCAAGGACATTTTTGGGGCATGGCTTTTCCTGATGTCCTGGGGTGCCTCAGTCTGACTCTTGGCTCTGCCCTCTCTACAGGACCCCCCACTCTTTGCTGGGACGAGGGACCAGATGCTCCAGAGAGTCCATGTGGGATGGTGGGGTGGTTGGGGAAGGAGGCTGCGTGGACAGGTACATGCAAGCTCTTAGCAGAAACTTGTCAAGATGCCATGCCTCAGCCAAATTTAATTCAGCATCTATCAATCAGGTTCAAAAGTAATCAAGAGAGCAGTGCATATCAGTGAGCCAGCATCCCCAGGGCCCTCTCAAAATGAGGATGGCAGTGCGAGATCCCCATGGCCGGGGGGCTGAGGAGCACCCAGCAGAGGGGCAGGTGGGGGTCACACAGGGGACCTGGGGGGACCGAGCGCCAACTCACCATGCTGAGCTCTGCTTCTGTCTGGCTGCACCGAGCATCCCCCGACGCACAGAAAAAGCAGCAGGGAGCTCAGGGTGCTCCACTTCCCATAGGTCAGCACAGAGAGGGACAGATCCCGTTGGGCTCAGCAGGCTCTGCTCTGGGAGGAGATGGAGGTGTGTACAGCCCCATCCTCCCACCTGCCCTTCCCGTACCTCACCATGGCTGGTGCTGGCCCTGTGGACAGGCTGGCTCTGCTCTGAGAACAGGGCTGGGGAAACGAGGCTTGGTGGCAGGGGATCGTACACCTCCTCCAAGCCCCACCACATCCGGGATGTAAGCCAAGCTGGAGCCAGTGTCCATTTGCTGGTGTGGTGGAGCCGGGTTGGGCCCAACCTCCTGCATCCCTTGGGAGCAGCTTCTCAGCATCGCCTGGAGTTTGGCTGGCCCCACCGATGTGCTCAGAGCCTTGATGAGCAAAGAGCACTCCTGAACCCCTTTTTGGGCTCAGCAAAAGGATGACCCCCACCCTTATTACGCTGCATCTGCCACCCCAGAACCAAACCCATGGAAATCCATCCTACTTACATGGGGGGGGGGGGCGGACGATGGCTGCCCACCACCAACGGTGGCACAGATGGAACGGCTGCAGCAGGGCACCCTGCCCTCCTCACCCAGGCTCGCCTTCAGCCCTGCAGCCCTCTGAATGTTGTCTACTGGGCTCTGTTGAGTCTAATGAACGGTGGAGCATATCCCAGCTCTGATGAGCTCACCAGCCCATCAGGATATTGGTTAACTCTTTGTTTCCCCGCCTTGGGCTCTGACTTATAGGCAGCTTGCCTGCAGGGTTTGCTAAGAGGCCGCAGCTTGGAGGCAGTCCAGTGGCAGGAGCAGGGTGGGATGGTTGCTGGAGCAGGGCTGCTGGGGATGCTGCCCCAGGCTTTGAGCACCAGCAAGTCCCTATAGCTGCTCTGGGTTGTGGCTGCCTTGCTTCCAATCAGGGGATGGTAACCAGTGTCTGCAAAACACTTGGAGGCTCCTTGCTGAGACATTTGATAGATGCAAGACATAAGCAGTTAGCTATTAATTAACATCCTGAACCCATTACTAGGAGAGGGAGAGAAGATGAATCCACGGATATACTGTAAAACCTTCTTACATCACTGTGAATCCACCTGCTGCAGGGAAAGGATCCAGCCTGACACAGGCATTGCTGGTGGCCAGGAGCCCTGATGGGGCTGTGGCCATCCCTCTGGGCTTTGGTTTGTTGCTGTAGTGGTACTCAGTGCTGCACCAGGGACACAGGCAGGGAGCAGAGTGGGGTGTAACGGGTCAAGAAAATGTCACAGGGATTGACAGATCTTGTGTGGGCTGTGGGATGGGTGCAGAGCATCCCAGGGCAGTGCATGGGGCTGGAAGGAGAGGAGGAGGGCTCAGAAGGGCTGTGGGTGGATGCAGCTCAGTGGGGCATAGGCAATTCAGGAAGGAAAATCAAGGAGTGTCTGGAAAAGTGAGGTCCCTCAGCTTGGCTCTGTGCAGACCTTTGGCCAGACGTGTTGGGTTTGGACCTCATCAGCAAGGGACAGTGGGCTCACAGACCAGGGCAAAGGTGAGATGAGCTCAGCATCCTTGTCCGTCAGGACTGTCCACATCTCTTGATGGGAGGTGTGTGCGTGTTAGCTGAGCACGAGGGCCAAGCCCTGGGGGATGAGATGATTCCACTGCTCTTTAATCTGAGAGCCAGCATCCAGAGTAGCCTGGTGTTTTGGGAGCATTATATGTTGAAAACACTCTTTAGAACCGGGAGGGATTTGGATTTCCTAGTCCAGATTCAAGAGAGTAGATTATTTGTCTTAAAGAAGCAGTTAGGGGAAAAGAAAAAAAAAAGGAAAAAAAAAGAAAACAAAAAGAAAAACGAGATGGGAAA